GCAAGGAAGGAGGAACCTTTTGGGTAATGACTTCCCACAAAGGTCTAGTGCTCCAATAAGCATCAAATTTGTCTACTTCCTGAGAGACAGGGAACTGGTAGGGACGACGAAGATCACCGGAAGGAATAGTCTGAAGTAAGCCGTATTGTCTTTTTACCCTGCAGAGATAATAAAAAGTCTTACGGGACAAGCTTGGAAGACGGAAGAAAGGTTGCTTGTTGACACCAACCATCCTTTCTATTTTCCACCAAGGGATGACCCACTTGATGGCAAAATTGCAAGACTCGAAGACCCTCTTCCATTCATGGCGCCCCATCTTAGAGAAGCGTTTCTTCCTTCTCACGAAGCAATTTGGGGTATATTTCTCAATGTTGTCCGGAGGGCTAATTAATTCCAGTCTTTCCATTAGCCACATCTGTAAAAAAATTGCAATGCAAATAAATTATTATTACTATAAAAAAATATATTTTTGATTTCTATAATTAAATTATTATTTTTCTGCCTGTAATAAAATTGGAGAGCCCCGAAAAGGTGCTTTTGGATTCCTCTTTAGTTCATCAAGACTAAGCATAGTCTCTCAACCTATTAAAAGCATTGGATTTCTCCCTGATTCAATTTGTTCTAAAACAGTGGATATAGTTGATTGACCCACATTATTTTTACCACTAGTAATAAAAAATTGATTAAGCATACAAAATAAGAAAGCTCTTCTTCTATAAACATGAAAAGATTCAGAATAAGGCCTATTGTAGACAACCCATTTGTGTCACCCCAAAACCAAACCCGGTGATGAGTACATTTCGCGTTGAATCATAATCGAATGAAGTGGAAAGTTTAGTGTTGCGGATAGTTTTAATTCTTTTCTCTTCTCTCTGTTTTTGAAAACTTATTTTAAGAAAACATCCAATCCAGTTTGGTTGGTCCATGATATGGGTCCAATAGTAGTGTAGTTGGATGGGGCTTGACAAGAGCTTTCCAACGATATATTATAAGCCTGATTCCGATGAATATTGAAAAATCATGGTCAATTTACTGAACTGGGCCCGGTTTGAGCTTTATATACGGCCCAATGATCTAGGGGACGGCCTAACATGATTTATCATTCTTAATGCAATTAGGAATGGTTTTAGTCTTCTAGATTCTTCTAGAAGGTTCGTTTCATTCCTAATTCAATTAGCATTGATAAATTGACTTTTGTTGACTTTTCATAGTTTTAATTTAAATCAAAGAGCATTTTTGAGGAAAATACGATTTTATCCCCCTGTACGGCAATTTTTATCTGATTTTAGGAAAACGCGTCAAAAACTTATTCAACGCCAAACGCCAGCATTAGCGCATGACGCTACGCTTGGCGGCTGGCGCTAGCGTTAGCGCGTGGCGCTAATGTCAACGTCTGGCGTTAATCCCCGTTTTATGCGTCAGAACTCTATTTTTATTTTTTATCTTTTTGGCTGATTTTCTCTATAAAAAGCGTTCTAAAAAATCCGTTTTCATTCACCAAACTCTCATCAAGATTCTCTTGATTTCTCTCTCTCTATCTTTTCTAAACTAGCCTTTTCACAAATATAAAAATTCCGCACTCATTAGGTTTAGAAACACCTAGCCAAGTTCGAAGTTGCCTTTGCCCTAGACGTGAAAGGTTTAATTTCTGAGGAAAGAGGTACGAGGCATCCAAGTAAGTACTTTAATGGTTTTTATTATTGTTATTATGATATAGAAATCATACTAGGTTGTTATTTTGATTCCTAGTATCATGTTAGGATGTTTCAATGATTCTTAGTATCATGTTTAGGTAAAAGAATATAATATTAATTATGATTTCTATGATGCTTCCTATTTTCTTTTCCTAATATTCATGTTAGTATCATGTTAGGGTTAAAGCTTTGATTTTTATTGTTTAGTGACATGCTAGGGTTTGTTATTAATCTTGTTAGTATCATGCCTAAGATTTTGCTAGTATTATGCTTTACATGATACATGATTACTAGCTAAGTCAAAATTTATCTTCTTGATAGCCCATAAGGCACGATGTTCAAGCTCTACCGGGAGATGACACGATTTGCCATAGACAAGGCGATATGGAGTGGTACCAATAGGCGTCTTAAAAGCCGTTCTATAAGCCCAAAGAGCATCATCTAACTTGTTCGACCAATCCTTTCTATTCCTTGCAACCGTCTTCTCAAGAATGAGCTTTATTTGACGATTGGAGACCTCGACTTGGACACTCGATTGAGGATGATATGGAAGGCCGAACCGTTGATGCAATCCATGTTTCCTCAACATCTTTGGAAAGCGTTGTAAACAAAATGAGATCAGTTATCGCTTATCACAGCCTTAGGCACGCCAAACCTTGGGAAGATGATTTTGTTGAACAACTTCAACACTACTTTGTGGTCATTAGTAGGGGAGGCAATGACCTCAACCCATTTAGAAACATAGTCCACATCCACAAGTATGAATTGATTACCATATGAAGATGGGAACGGTCACATGAAGTCAATCCCCCAAACATCGAACACCACTAACTCAAGAATGGGCTGTTGAGGCATCTCATTCCTCTTGGAGATATTCCCAACCCTTTGACATCGATCACATGACTTCACAAAGCCCCATGAGTCCTTGAAGAGATGCGGCAACCACAAACCACATTGAAGAACCTTGGTAGCGGTCTTGGAAACACCCATATGGCCACCACTAGGGTCCAAGTGGCACATCCTTAAAACACTAGGCACCTCTTCATTTGGAACACAACACCTAAGTAAGCCATCAACCCCTCGTTTGTATAGGATGGGATCATCCCACAAGTAATTTCTTGCCTCCCTTTTGATTTTCTTCCTTTGGTTCTTTGAGAAAGAGGGTGGAAACTCCCCACATGCTAGAAAATTCACCAAGTCGACATACCATGGGAGTTCCTTTACCTCTATGGCATATAAGAAGCCATCAAGAATTCTATCCTAAATTGGTGAACCATCATCATGAATGTGATCTCCCTCAAGGCGAGAAAGATGGTCCGCCACAACATTCTCCGCACCCTTCTTATCCCTAATCTCAATCTCAAAAGTTTGCAATTCAAGCACCCATCGAATCAACCTAGGATTGGACTCTTTCTTGGCAAAGAGATACTTGAGGGTCGCGTGATCCGTGAAGACTATGGTCTTGGAACCCAACAAGTAACAACGAAATTTCTCAAAAGAGTGCACAATTGCTAAAAATTCCTTTTCCGTTGTTGTGTAGTTCTTTTGAGCCCCATTGATTGTCTTAGACATATAGTAAATCACATGAAGTTTCTTGTCTACACGTTGTCCCAAAACACCTCCAATAGCCCAATCACTTGCATGACACATCAATTCAAAAGGAAGATCCCACCTTGGGGCTTGAACAATAGGAGTGGAGATAAGGGCCTTCTTCAATTTATCAAATGCCTTCAAGCATTTTTCATCAAAAATGAACTCAACATCCTTTTGAAGAAGGTCATTTAGGGGCTTAGCAATAAGTAAAAAATCCTTGATGAATCTTCTATAGAAACCCGCATGACCAAGGAACGATCTCACACCCTTGACATTCACCGGAGGTGGAAGTTTCTCAATAACTTCTATTTTTGCCTTATCCACCTCAATTCCTCTATTTGAAATCTTGTGCCCAAGCACTATACCTTCCTCCACCATGAAGTGGCATTTCTCCCAATTCAAAACAAGATTGACCTTAACACATCTTTCCAAACACTTCTCAAGGTTCACAAGGCACTCCTCAAATGAGACACCCCCCACCGAAAAGTCATCCATGCAGACCTCCATTTCCTCCTCCAACATATCCCCAAAAAACTCATCATGCATCTTTGGAATGTAGCGGGTGCATTGCATAACCCAAAGGGCATTCTTCGATAGGCAAAGGTATCATAAGGACATGTGAAGGTAGTTTTCTCTTGATCATCGGGGTGAATGGGGATTTGGAAGAATCCCGAATATCCATCGAGGAAACAATAGAACTTGTGCCTTGTTAGTCTTTTAAGCATTTGATCAATAAATGGAAGAGGAAAGTGATCCTTCTTGGTGGATGTGTTTAGACGTCTATAGTCTATACACATCCGCCAACCCGTGACCGTCCTAGTTGGAATGAGCTCACCCTTCTAATTCGCAACCACGGTCATGCCCCCCTTCTTTGGAATGACATGCACGGGGGAGACCCACCTTGAGCTAGAGATGGGGAATATGATTCCCGCATTCAATAACTTGGTGATCTCCTTCTTAACTACCTCTCCCATTTGGGGATGTAGTTTCCTTTGTCGTTTGATAGAAGGAAGGGTGCCTTCCTCAAGTGTTATGTGGTGTTGGCACAAGGCGGGGCTTATACCTTTAAGATCATCAATTGTGTACCCCAAAGCACCTTGGTGCTTTATCAAAACACTACATAACGCTTGAGCTTGGCTCACGCTCAAGGATGCACTAACTATCAAGGGATAAGTGGAATGAGGGCCCAAGAACTCATACCTAAGGTGTGATCGTAGAGGTTTGAGCTCTACCATAGGCACACCATTACCTTCCTTTGATGTGGCCTCTTGCAAAGCCTCTTGGCTTGAGATTTTCAAGCACATTTGCTCATCCACTTTCTCCATGCTTCCATTAAGAAATTCTTCATAGAATGCCACTTCCTTGCATGGTGTACCTACTTTGTCCTTGTTCAACAAAACATTCTCAAGAGCATCGTTAGAGGTGAGCAAGTGCTCATGCATGGAAGACACAACATGATCAAGTGAATCAATCATCATGCAATTTTCTAGAGAAGAATATGGATATTTCATGCTTTCATTCAAATCAAATTCAATGACCTCATCTCCAACCTTAAGGGAAATCTTTGCACTCCTCACATCAATCATAGCACCCGAGGTAGAAAGAAAGGGTCTACCTAAAATGATTGTAATGGTAGCATCTTCATCCATTTTAAGCATAATAAAATCCACCGGGAACACAAACTTCCCAACCCTCAATGGAACATCTTCTACCTTACTTGATTGACATATCGGCTAATTGCAAGGTAATGTTAGAAGGTAAGAGTTCCCCTAGTTCAAGCCTTGGATAAACCGAATATGGCATTATGCTAACACTAGCTCCCAAGTCACATAAGGCATTATCAATTTGCATCTTGTTAATGGCACAAGGGATGGAGAAATTTCCGGGGTTTTTCAATTTGGGTGGCATTTTGTTCATGATGATAGCACTACAATTTTCGGTCAAATTGATAGTTTCCACAACCTCACAAGTCCTTTTCCCACTCAAAATGTCCTTGAGGAATTTGGCATAATTTGGCATTTGGTTGATCACATCGGTAAAAGGTAGAGAAAGATGAAGTTGTTTTAGCATATCAATGAATCTCCCAAATTGCTCATCTAATTTGTGTCTCATGAATTTTTGTGGGTAAGGGAGCTTAGGTTTCACAATTTCTTCTCTACTCTCACCTCTCTAGGTGTCTCAACCACAACCTCATCCAATGATGCCTTATCCCTCTCATTCTCAACCAAGGCTTCCTTAGGAATCTCCTTATCCTCACCCTTCCTAGGCAATCTCTCCTCAAGAACCTTACCACTCCTAGTAACAATAGCATTCACGTGTTTATTGGGATCAAGACCTTGGGAAGGTAAAGAAGAAGCGCTTGCATGATCTTTCAAAGCATTAGCAAGTTGAGAAATTTGATTTTCAAGCATTTTATTGTGGGTCATTATTTCGTTGAACTTCTTATCACTAACGGCCATGTATGTGTTTAACAACTTGGTTTGATTCTCAATTATCTCTTCTAAATTGGTCCTAGGTGAAGAAGGTTGGTGTAGACACCCATTTGTGTCTCCCCAAAACCAAACCCAGTGATGAGTGCCTTTCACGTCGAATCATAATCGAATGAAACAAAAGTGTGGAAATGTCTAGTGTTGCGGAAATTTTTATTTCTTTTCTTTTCTTTTCTCTTCTCTCTGTTTTTGAAAACTTTATTTTAAGGAAACAACCAATCCATTTTGGTTGGTCCATGATATGGGTCCAATAGTGGTGTAGTTGGATGGGGCTTGCAAAGGCCTTTCAAACGATATATTATAAGCCCAATTCCCATGAATATTGAGGAATTTATGGCCAATTTACTAACTGGGCCCGGTTTGAGTTTTAAGTACGGCCCAATGATCTAGGGGAGGGCCTAATATGATTTATCATTCCTAATGTAATTAGGAACTATTTTGGTCTTCTAGAACATTCTAGAAGGTCTTATCATTTTTAATTCAATTAGGATTCCTTAGAGTTTTAATTAGATCAAATAGCATTTTCGACTGAAATTATATTATTTTATCTTCCAGTACGGTAAAATTATCAGATTTTCAAAAACGTGTTAAAAGCCGGTTTGGCGTCCAACCCCAGGCCTTGGCGCCTGGAACCAGGATTGGCGCCAGACGCTAGCCGTTGGCGCCTGACGCTAGCCACTGGTCCTGGCGCCAATGAGTCAGGGCTGGCCCCAAGTTAGTTTTTCGATCTTCAGACTCTGTTTTGATAAATTATCTTTTTTGGATGTTTTTCTCTATAAATATCGTATCAAAAACAACGTTTTAAAATGAGGGATTATTATCTATCATTCACTACTTCTTTTATTCTTAAGTTTTTAATAAATTCCAATTAGTATTCATCTACAATCTTGAATCGTCAACAAATTAGTTTATGAATCATTAATCTTTCGTTCTTTCTTTCTAAACTTTATTCTTTAACACAAAATTCCGCATTCACAAGATCTTGATACACCTAGCCATATTCGAAGTTGCCTTCGCCCTAGACGTGAAAGGTTTTAATTTCTGAGGGTTTGGTCCCAAATCTCTATTTCAATTATTTAATTTAATTGCTTTATTTATTACTTTTCTTGAAGTTACTAACGTGTGTATTTTGTAATTAGAAAGAGGTACGAGACATCCAAGTAAGTACTTTAATGGTTTAATTGATTTTATGATGTAGACATCATGTTTATATTATCTTTATGATATTCCTAGTATCATGTCTAGGGTATTTTTAATATTAAATATGATTGTTATGATGCTTCCTATGTTCTTTCTAATATTTATGATTATGATTGATGATGATTATTTATTATGTTGCTTGATATGCATATTATTATTATATTTTTATTACTTGATCACCTTTTATTGCAGGTTAAAGGGAATTGGTATTTGCAATCACACTTAATAAGATAATTAATAATCTTGTTAGGGTTAATTGTGATTATAATTCAAGTGATCGCCAATAATAGATTTGTATGTGCATTAATATTCAACCAACATAGATTAAACAGGTTTAGGGTTAATCCTATTGATTGTATGTTAATAAAAAAGCGCACATGAATACGAGCAGAATAAATTAGAGGCCTATTATTAGGTTAGGTTCAATCTCTTTTAGGTTGGATTTGTACCATCATCCCCGGACCCTTATTTGGTTCATGACCTTATGGAGTTGACGATCTCTTGGATCGTTAAGGGGTGTAACCTTCACCTCGTGAACGGTTTACAAGTTTCTTAAAAACTTGTTGGCGACTCTTTTGCTCTATCTTCTTCCCTTTTGGACGCCACCGTACTTTAGTGTATGATCACAGTGGGGTTCAAGCTAGTGGGATTTTAAAGGCTTGAAAATATTCCCTACAGTTTTTGGCGACTCCACTGGGGAGGATTTCTATTTTAATTCCTGAATTTGTTTCGGCAATGATTTAGAATGAGTGGATGAGACTCGAAAAGTTCTAAGTATTTCATGTGCGTAATTTTGATTAACATTATTGTCATATGCATAAAAAGGTTCTCATTGGAAAGACCATCCGTAATGAGTCAAAAACTTAGGATTTTTACACGTAGGAAACTTGAGAAATGTCTTTCACAACTAGGACTGAAATAACACCGCGCAAAACTGGATGATTTTATTGAGCACAGAAAGCTGCTGAGGCATGTGGGAAGTAGCGTCAGGGGCCAGAGCTTGGCACCAAACAGTTAGCCGTAGCGCCAGACGCCAATATTGGCGCCAGGCGCTACAATTAAAAGTTGGCGCCAGTCTCTGTTTGCTGGCGCCAATTTCCCCCAATACCGAGCTAGAAATATGCGTTCTAATTTCGACCGGTTTTTCGTATTGTTTGCTCGATCCTACTTCCTGATTGCATTTTTTCTCATTTTTCTGAAACCCATATGTGTTCTACATATGGACATAACCCTCTGGGAATTCATGCTCTATCTACCCGATTGAACGCTCCTGGCAACAAAGGGTACATCTGAGAGGTTGAATTCACCAAACCATGGAAGCGAGTTTTTTCTAAAAAACTCGCGGTGTTCTATCCACACGCGTTAACCCTTCACGGTTAGGCTTCTACGTGGTGCATCTGGACAATTAACCATGGACCCTGTTTGACTAAACCATATCCCGAATTTTAGAGAACTAGAGCCATGGTTAGGTTGCAAACTCATTGCATCATATTGTGCCTACTTGACTAATTGTGCATTATTTGTTGCGCATATATATTCTATGCTCCTCCTAACCGTTTTTTGATTTGTGTTGAGATTATAATCAATGACTTAAAGAACTTTTCCTAATTAATTAATTAATTCGAGTCTATATTTTTTTTCTTCTTTTAATCGGAATTGACCTAGTACGACTTTAGGCATACCCAAGTTGACTAATAATATCGAAAACAGTCCCAGATCGAGGCTCCAATGTCGGTGCCAAAATCTGGGCTGTAGTGCCATTGTATGGTGTGTAGCGCCAGACATTTACTGAAAAGTCTGGCGCCAACCACCATATTGTGACGCCAGTCCTGTCGCTTGGCCAACAGTTCGGATTATTCAGTTTCTTGTTTAATTCGGTTAATTCTGCTTAATTGAATCAATATTCGAGTTTAGGCACTAAGTCCCATGGTCTTACACAAGAGTCCAAGCATGTCACTTACACTCAATACACACACCATTACACATGTCTTGACCATGATTAAGGGAGTCTTGTGTGCGCGCGTTATTTTTCGTCATTTTTTTAGGGGGGTAAGTCGGATATTATTCCTCCAATAAATAGTACTTAAGTTCCCTAAACACATGTACATTATTGCTCCCTAAAAATATGCATACTTTTTTCTTTTCTTAAACAAAAGCCATAAAGTCAAACTGATTCGAGTCAAATAATTAAAACGCAAACTGGCTTAATCTACAGCGTGTGGTCATGAAAGGAAGGACGATTAATCAAAGATAACCTCTTCGTACAAGTCCAACTTTTCGACAAACCTATAGCTCGCAAGAGGAAGGCAAGAGTTATAATGGCAACTCAGGAAGAAGTTAACGATCTCAAAAACCAATTGGCTACTGTAACCGAGACACTAAAGCTTCTCGCACTTAAGATCGAGGATCCCGCGAAGCAACAAAAAATGGACCTCATGCAAGAAAGCCTAAGCAAGTTGTCCAGCGACTACAAGTTTCAAGAACTCACGTCCCAAGGGGTCTCGGTGGATTAGGATCTTCTTCCGCAGAAGTTCAGTGGCAACGACATCCCAAAGTTTAGGGTAATCGACAACCCCTACTTCCATCTAAGGGCATTTGAAACAATAATGAGTATCAAGGGTATCGATAAGAAAATTTTCCCTTCTTTGTTCTCGCTATCTCTCGAGACCGTTTGCCAACAATGGTTCTTTTCTCTTAAAAAAGAAAAGACCTCCACCTGGGAATCCATAGCAAACGCTTTTGTTGATAGGTACAAGTGCAACGTTCAAGTCGAAACTGACCATAGAGAACTTGAAATTCTCAAGCAGAAGGAGAATGAAGGCTTCACATCTTTGTTTAACAAGTGGAGAGAAACCTCAGCTAAAATGATTGAGGTACCAAGTGAAAAGAGTCCGTGAGATTGTTCATTAAAAATGTCCAAGAAAAATATTCAAAACATCTTAAATATCAAAATAACCTTCATTCCTTTAAGGTTGTTTATGATATTGGGATTAATATTGAAGATGACTTAGCTAAATCTAAAGCTGCCAACAATAACACCAACAGTGGCTGGAAAGGAAAGAAGAACGACAATCCTTCTTCTTCCAAAACCGCCCACTCAAATAATGTTAGCGCCTTTAATCTAGGAGAAGTCCTTGCCATGAACAACCAAGGACAAAAGAAATTATTTAGGAGAAACTTCACTCCTATTGGCATGAGTTATGACACCGCGTTTGATCGGCTAAATGAAAAAGGTCTTATAACTCCCATTGGACCATTCGGAGATCCACCAGTCGAGAAAAGGTCGCCTAATTGGAACCCCAATGCACATTGCAAGTATCATCAAGGTAGGGGCCATTCTACTGAAAGCTGTTGGAAACTTAAGGAAGCTATCCAAGACCTGATTGACAGTAATAAGCTGTCGTTGCCTCCTGCCAGTAAGAA